CAACAGAACAAGTGTATGGAAGCACCACATTAAATGCATTTGTATTCATTTTTTCTTAAACCGACAGGGTAGATCTTTCCTGGCAGAGTAGGTCTTCCTTATCATATCCAATCACACCTTACTGGCAGCACAAGGGGAGCCTCAGAGCACAACCCCAGGCTCCCCCTGCACCGGCAAGTAGCAAACTCCCATGCTTGTTAGCCTAGTCAGCTGAGGAGGCTTGCAGCCGAGGCAGCATCTCACAGCTGAGGCGGCTTGCAGCCCGGGCAGTGCATGGTGCACCCCTGCAGCTGGGAGCTGTCAACAGATGGGGCTCCCAACCATCTGGCCACATCTCCCAACCATCTGGAGCATCTGGCCACATTTGGCATATTATGTATGGCATAATATGCATGGTATGTTTGGCATAATATATATGGCATAATAAGTATGAGCCACAAAGTCATTAAACATTTTTTATGGAACTTTGTGGCGTATTCCTTGCTTTATCATGCCGTTAAAGGATTGTACATGTGGCCATATCACGACTTAAGGAATAATTAACTTGTTAATTATGTCTTAAGTGTAATGTGTAGATTAGGCTTAAGTATGTTAAGCCCACAGTGGGGGCAGGCAACCTCCCCCACTCCATGAAAGGAGCACTATAGAAACAAGGGCATAAGATGCTATGTCACCGTAGCAACACGTTATATAAATTTCTAGCTAAAAATGAACTGCAAGCACAAGTCCATAAATATATGACCAGAGGTGATCAAAGACTGTCCAGCTTTAACCAAAAACAATCAAGGCACGATGCAAAGGTGGCAATTTATCTGAGTAGAAATCTATTGACTAAGTAACTTCTTCAACAGCAAAAATGAAATATAGCTGATCTAAATGTATTCATAAAATCCTGAGACATGCCCAATAACAAACTGCCATCTAGTGGCCTAACTGCATTTTCCTAGACTTTGTACAAAGTAGATTATCTTAACTAAGAAATACAGAGATATTATCATTTCACATACTAAGGGTTCCTGTACTCCTCCCCATTTATTAACCTGTGAAAAATACATGCATTCATTTTTTACAGTTAAAAACCATAGTAGCCAATACTACACAGTAAATACTAGAAAAGTAGCTATTCAGCAACATAATACAATCTCATCTCCTACAGTTACACATGGTATCAAGCAACAGTTTACAATCATTTGAAAATTCTCTTCAGGTTAAGGGATCACAAAAACATGGTTTTCTAATTTTAGTCAAATTATTTTAAATATTTGGGGAAAGCTAACATTTAAAAGGCCCTTAAGCTAACATAAATGTACTTATTTTCTTCAAATACTTGTATGGCACTAGCTGCATACAAGCATTTGAAGAAAATAAGGGTGTGGATGCATGCACATAACACTTGAACCCTTCTCAGTGGCACTGAGTGGTAACTAGGGGTGTGTGAAGCTTCAGTCGCCGATTTGATTCTGTGACGATTTGGCCTGATTCAGAGGTCAAATCACTGAATCCAACTCAGCAGACCAAAAAAACCCACCTCCGAATCGATTCAAAGCCTCCAAATCTATTCAGAAAAGATTCAAAAGGCAGTCTTTCAGGGGAACAGAAACTGAAAAGAGGGAGGGGGAGCAGAGGGGGAAAGACTGACATCTATGGCTGGCCAGTGACTGATCTTTCCCCTGAGTCCCCTTCCAACCACAGTGCTCTGGGGGAGGGACACAGAAACACCACATTAGCCTCTGTCTGCAGCCTTTCTGTCCCTTTTGTGAGCTGTTTCTGCCTGAGCACTGGGAAGGCCCCCTGTTACAGGCTACCAACCTGGCTGGTTTCATCCTGCTGTGCCTTAACACACACGTCATAATTTTGCTTTCAGAAGCTTGAGGTACAGTTTCCCAGAAACCCCTAAATCTATCTCCTTGAAACTTGTCAGTCTTCATGCCCTCAGAAGTGGCTACCATCCCTGCTCTTTTCATCCAAATCTGCCAAAAAATTACAAAGCTGTAGGTATTTCAGTGATTCCTCACGATAGTCTATGGCCGAATCTCCGAATCTTTCCGAATCAGCGCTGAATCTTCCAAAGCCAATTCAGCCGAATCGATTCAAGACAGTGATCCGAATCTCCAAATTGAATCACTGTCCTCCAAATCGGCTGAATCCGAAGCCAAATCGAATATTTCCTTATTTGTACAAGCCTATTGGGAACCAGTTCCCAGTTCTGTTAAGTGTTGTGGCTCTGACACCAGAGGTGGGAGTGACCACCCAGCCCAGCATACTTCACAGTGGGCATCAGGGAAAGTGCTTGTGACCATGACTTGTGGGGGTCAAAGGGTAGGGTTCCCATATCCTGTACTATCACTATAGTAAAATAAATTCTAAATGTATATAAATTTTAGCTTCTGATTTTGGGTTTTTTTATCACTGAAAAATCAGAGCTCTCCCTGCCCCCCTTCACTCATCAGGACATGGGTCCAGGTGCAGTTGTCCCTGCCTCACCTGGCCCCCAACCCCACACTGATTTGTGATGCTGAGCAGCCCTGATATGCCCATATCCTGTCCATGCATTGCCCCTCACTTCCAAGCCATAGCTCCACCCCCACCCCAGCCTGCTATTGCCCCTCATTCCCCACACACAGACTCCTACCCCCACCAGCCCTGCCAGGGGGCCCCCAGCTGCCAGGGCTATGGGGCCAAGGACACAGATCCACACCCGCTTGCCCACTGCAGCAACTCCCAAACCTTCACTGCCACCCATAGGAGGCAGCGGCTTCTGTGGCCCCAGTGGGTACAGGAACCCAGCTCCCCCTCCACCATGGATGGCACGGCCGGAGCAGAGCCTGTCAGATGGGGCAGCAGGGGGACAGGGGTGGGATGCCTGCTGCAGAATCAGACTCCCCACTCCTCTGCCCTCCCCTCTGGGGCCTCTGCATCCCAGCAGGCGGGACCCAGCACAACAGGGCAGAGCAGGGCCAGGTAGGGAGGCTCAGTGCCACCGCCACAAGCCCTGCACTGCCATGGCAAGGTGCCCCCTGCCCAACCAGCAGCAGGGGGTTGGCAGTGTGGGACTGCGCTCTCTGCTGCCACCAGACATGCAGGGGGCATCTCTCCATGGCAGCATGGGTCTCGTGGCTGTTGGCAGTTCCTCACCCAACTCCACCCTGCTCTGCCATGCCAGGTCCCACCCACTGGGCCATGGAGGCCCCACAGGGAGGGCAGCAGGGCATGGAGGCCAGCCTCCCACTGCCCCCCCGTCTACAGCCCCATCCCACTCCTCACCCAGGCCCTGCAGCCACACATGGCCCCAGACCCCACGCATCACCCAGGCTGAGCAGAAGTGCCAGCCCCACCCAACTTCCTTCTCTCCCTCCCTATAGGGGCCTCAATCCCACCCCTCCCCCCCCAGACTTATCTGCAGGAGCTGCTCTCCAGGCTGCCTGGCAGCCACCTGTGTATGTATGTGTGTACAAACATGTCTGCCCTTCTCCTGCTCCCCTCAGCCCCTTGCAGGCTGGAACTCTGCTAGCCTGCAAGGGGAAACCTACCTTAACCCATTTTGCTCTTTTAAAGGAGAAAATTTAAGTTTTACCATGTTTTCCCATTGCGAATGGACAACCCAGATCTCTGCTTATAACAGAGAAAGGTTTGGCTTTAAGGTACAAACACACCAGCAAACTTACTCCGAGGCACAAGGAAGAGCAGTACTTCACATGAATTGCTTCATAGCAACTGTCCCAATATATGCTTGTCCTGTGTTAAGTGGAAGCCAACAGCTTAGCGCTCAACATAAAAAAGAGGTAAGCTACCATAAGGCTTCCTCTTACAACAGGAAAGATGTTCTGCTTGTAAACCGATGGCTCTAGCAAGGCTCCCCTGTTTATACCTTGAATTTCTACTGCCAGTGGAATCGGAACTTGCGGTAGAGGTGATATCTTTTATTAGACCAACCAGATTTTTGCAACAACAAAAAAATACTTTAAATTGCAAGCTTTTGGGCACAAGCACCCTTCTTCAGGCATAGAAGAAAATATTGTAAAAGTTACCTTAGGTAGAAAAGAAAGTTCATACTTCATAGTAGAGTTAAAGGAGTGGTAAAAATCTCATGTTTGGAACAGTTTGTTTTATGCAGGTTAGGCTCAGGGAAAAGTTGGAATAGTATGTTTATAGTCTGTTTTCTGCCAATGGAATATTTCAAACAGCATCTCCACACAAAAACTTTTCCCAGATAGAAGCTTAATTTCCTTGTCAGTGCATTCCTTGTTTATAATAAAATTACTTAGAATGCTAACTTGTAATCAAGATCCAGTATTTCCATGCAATTGAGGGTCACATGCCCCCACCTTATACACACACTATAAAATATCAGTCTTTATCTGGAGCTTTTACAGGTTAGCATAAGGTTTACATCATGTAACACCAGATTGTGTTATAATAGCAAAAAGTTATTCCACCCACCAAAATATTATAGAATCATAGAAAAATAGGGTTGGAAGGAACCTCAGAAGGTCATCTAGTCTAACCCCCAACTCAAAGCAGGACCATCCCCAACTACATCATCCTATCCAGGGCTTTGGTCATGCCAGGCCTTAAAAACCTCCAAGGATGGAGATTCCACCACCTCTCTAGGTAGCCCTTTCCAGTGCTTTGCCACCCTCCTAGTGAGAATTTTTTTTCCTAATACCCAACCTAAACCTCCCTTGCTGCAGCTTGAGACCCCTGCTCCTTGTCCTGTCATTTGCCACCACTGAGAACAGTCTAGCTCCATCCTCTTTGGAACCACCCTTCAGGGAGTTGACAGTTGCTATCAAATCCTCCCCCAGTCTTCTCTTCTGCAGACTAAATAAGCCCAGTTCCCTCAGCCTCTCCTCAAAAGTCATGTGCCCCAGCCCCCAACAAATAACAAAATATGAAGTTTTTTATCCAAAAACTTTTATAACATACTTGCAGTGAAAAAAAGAGGACAATCATCAACCCACAACTGCAAGGCAGAAAGAAGGGGAAAAAAAACTAATTACCTCTTGACTATCCTTGTTCTGGTTTGCCCAGAAAATCTTGTGATAAAGAGTTTCCATTGAATTGCTGGAATCTGATCTGTCAAAACAGTGTCGATCCAAAACCTCTAGGGTATGCAAAACTCGGCTGATGGTGACCCCTAGATATGAAAGTTAAAAGACGCAGAAAGAATATCGTCTCCAAAAGTGGAAGGTTATCAGTTATAACATTATCTTACAAAAGTGCTAATTTGGGTTGGGGATTTTGTGGTATGAACACTTGTCCTCTATAAACACAAATTAAGAGGAAAGTACATTTCAAAAGTGGTCTCTGAAAGGTTGGTCAGTCAATATGAACCTGAGCTAGATTTGAACCAAATTCCTTACATTTCTTAGTAATTGCTTGACCTGTTACATTCCCCTTAACTATCTAAATCGGATAATAAAACATGGTTTTAATAAAACATATTATCAAATATGTTTTAGAGTAAAAAATGTAACTAAAAAGCAAGCACATTCTATGTCATAAAAAGTCTATGCACTCCCACATACTCTATGATTAAAACCCTAAGCTTTGCTGGCTCTTGTGCATCATCCTCACAGCCCTTCTTGGAACAGCCTCCATCCTTCCACACAAAAGATCTTCATAAACTCTCTTCAACTGCTGCAAGACGTAAATGAGCTTGTTCAGGAGCCCTAAACCATTAAGCCCTGTAATTCAGCAGAGGAGTTATGGAAATGATCCCCCATCAGTGAGTTCCGTAAGTTGTATTTCTCCAGTTGGCCATGGTATTTCAGAGCATCTAAGCCTGAAACCTGAATTCCAATAGTCTCTCCACCAAACTCTAAAACTATAGTTACACTGCAAGCTCAAAAGTGAAATGAATGCTGGCTGTTTGTTCCTTTGTGCCCATATATCAAATTTGCATCTAGAACTAATTGCAATGAGAAATAATTAAGCCCCAAAAAAAGACCTAGGATCTCAATATTTATTTTGCATTTCAACTTGCTTTACCTGCTGTTGATTCTTGGCACTTGTCAAAAGACCACCGCACCTCCACAGCACGACCTCTTTGTTTTATCTGCTGTTCTACTTCATAAATCTTTGCCCGAACCTGAAAAGATGATTGTTCCTAATTAGCTGGTAGCTGAGAAGTCACAATTCTCATTTCAAGCATGTGTCAGATTTCCTTCGAGGAATAAAGTATCCTACAGTGCACATTAGGGAAACAGTAAGATAAAGTATAGCATGTTCAACTTTTTCTATTTTTTTTTTTTAATTGCCTCTAACAAAATATCCTCTTCTCCAAATAAATACCTAAAGTTCAATTTAGTGGCACTGCACAAATGACATTTTTGAATCATAAATGTTGCATTATACTGACAAGCGCAATGATTCTCTTTTTATTTGCTGTGTCTTTACATACAATCTCAGTTTAAGATCACTCAAGATCATTACTTTGAAAACATTATCAATACTTCATTTCAGAGACACAGTGCCTTAAGGTATGTTGAATGGTTTGGACTGAAGGTGCAGACCAGTTAGCTGATCATAAATAACAATTCAAAAACTGGCATGTAACTATTCCAAAACCCAAGAGCATAGGTATACATTAACCTGCTAGTTTTAATGAGCATGAGCCACTTCATTTTTTTTAGATGATACCAAGTGGATCTCAGTCATTTAATAGGAAAAGAAAAGGCCTACCTGTTGATTAAAAGCTGAATTTCCACCTGGCATAGGTAAACTAGATGGAGCAACTTGAAGTAAATCCAGAGGAGAGCCTGGATTAATGCTCTTATTTTCATTTGTGAAATAATTCCACACCAAGGCACTTGGGCAACAAAGAGTTATAGTCTGCAAGCAACAATGTAAAGTAGTTAGAAGCATTGTCCTAGGATGTGATAAATGACATGAGTTACAGCTAATACAAACCAAGAGGTAGTCTACCAAGCTTCTAGCCCAGAGGTGCGCAAAATATGGCCCACAGGTCCCTGTGATGGGTGCTTGTTCCTTCGGCAGGGAAATGCCAGGAGTGGATTGCAGGTCTGCCCTGGGCCCTGGCCCTGTTACCACCCACAATCCTGGCCCTGGCCCTGCTCACCCACCCTACTCCTGGACACCGCTCCCCACCCACCCACAAGGGTCCCGGGCTGGTCTCCATGGATACCCTGCCTCCATGGATACCCTCCAGCACCCCCAGTGATGAGTGCAGGGTGGATAGCTCAGGGCTGGATAGGACCAATGCCTCCCCATTCCAGCCCCCAACACACCACACCAGGCCACAACAGCACTCCTGTGCTTCCCCCTAGCCCACAACAGATCACAGAAACATCTTCAGTGGCCCTCCAGTCCAAATAATTCCCCACCCCTGTTCTAGCCCAATGACACCAGAAGTGACAGGGAAGGGGAAGACAGAAAGAGAGAGAGAGAGACCTCTGTTTAAACTTAGCAGTAAGAATTCACTTACTTTTTAAAATGATGTACGAAATTCAATTAAAATGTTATTTTTATTGTTAAAAAATTACGTTGCTTTTAAATAAATGTGTGATCAACAGGGAACCTGGTTTTCTCTGACAAAAAAATCCCTAGTATTCAGATTTTTAAAAAAGTGACCCCGAACCCACATTTCTCCATGATTAAAATGAAACACCACTAATATATATATCTAGATCTGTGTGTTTCATTTTAATCACGGAGAAATGTGGATTTGGGGTCACTTTTTTAGGCCGAAAATTAGGGATTTATTTTTAAATCAGAGAAAACCAGGATCCCTGATGATCAATTTACATTACTACTGCTTTCACTCTGCTAAAAAACAATACCACCAAGGGTTAATTGCAATCAGACACAGTCTAATAAACATGAATAAATTTTAGCAAAATGTGTCATTTGGGCCAAGTACAGACATTACACTTTTACCAGTCTAAGTAATCGGAAGCCAATTCAAACCCATAACAGAACAGAAGTTCCATGCACATAGGCTGGTCTAAAAATGGCAGAACCCAGTCTAAATTAGACCCGGACTGATGTGCACTCAGACTTAATCAACTTAGATTAGACCAGTGCATTAAACTTCAGTACCAATTCCCCTATCAATTCAAGTTAGGCTGCTAACTGCCAGCATCCCAGGCTCCTTTGCACGCCCTGCTGCCCACCCCGCCCTTGCAGGGAGGTACACTTGCACTCACCCACCCTTGGCTGCTCCAGCCAACGGCACAGCTGGCCCTGCCCCCGCCCCCCACCAGTTCTCCCAGACCCAAGCCAACACAGCCCCTCTCCCCAGCTCTATCTCCTGCCTCCTCAGCTACAGCCAGGCAGTGGGGGGCAGTAGAAATGGAGGCTTCTGCCACAGAGCCAGCCCTGGGTCTCCCAGACCTGAGCCAGCACAGCCCCTCTCCCCAGCCCTGCCTCTTGTCAGCTGTAGTCAGGGGCTGGGAGATGACAGAGGCTTGTCACACAGACCTGGCAGGCAATCAGGGTGGCCTAGCCTCTTGGCTGCATTCAGCATTCTCCAGCAGCCTGGGGAGCCTGAGAGGGCCTGCGGGGAGGCAGATGGGACTGCCCCCAACCTGCTGGCCCCTACTACCCAAAGGGTAAATGTGTGTTCTGTTCACTCCCAAACTAACCTACGTTGCTTACAGAAACCCACATAGGTTTGATTAATTCCACCTCAGCCTTTTTGAATGTCTGTACATAGCCTCAGGATGCAGCTACAAAGAGAAGTACATATGAAATATTAAAATTAAGACATTAATTAAAATAAATTCTCTGATCAAGATTTTAACACAAACAATCCAGTGAAATGGAATAAGAGTGTTGTTTCTTTTGACATTCAAACTACTTAAGGATCCTGGATTGACAAGCCTGGAGACTGTGGCATCTAGTGCTATACAAAGATCAACTAGAGGTTGAAATCCTCATCCCATTAGAACTAACTAAAGTTCTGCCACTGACCTGGGGCAAAGATTTCACCTACTCTTCACTTTATTACCTACTGCCCATCACACCTAGGTTTAAACAGGACACCTTCACTAGGACCCAAATCTATCCTGTTAATTTTGAGCTCACCAGTCCATTTCCTTTTGCCCCATTTCTTTAGAAAGCATGTTGAAGCTGGGGGGGCAGGGAGCAGTAGATATGCTGGAGGGTAGGTCCTGGATTCAGGGAGACCTTGACAAATTGGAGGATTGGACCAAAAGAAATCTCAGGAAGTTTAATAAGAACAAATGCAAAGTCCTGCACTCAAGACGGAACAATCCCTTGCACTGATACAGACTGGGGACCAACTGGCTAAGCAGCAGCTCTGCAAAAAAGGACCTGGGGCTTACAGTGAACAGGAAACAGAATGAGCCAGCAGCGTGCCCTTGTTGCAAAGAAGGCTAATGGCATACTGGGCTGCATCAGTAGAAGCATTGCCAGCAGATTCAGGGAAGGGATAATTCCCCCTCCATTCAGCACTGGTGAGGCCACATAAGGAGTACTATGTCCAGTTTTGGGCACCCCACTACAGGTTTCCCTTAATTTATGCAGGTTCCATATATGTTATGCGATCACCCTTTTTCTACCCAAAATTCCTTATAAGCAAGGTAAATTCACTCTTATGCAATCAGAGCTCTGCTTCTCCCCACTCACCTCAGCCCCTGGGCTGCACCGTGCCATGGTGCAGGCAGGTGGTGTCGGCTGCTTCCCGGTCTGCTGCAGCAGCTGGGGTGAGTGGGGAGAAGTAGAGCCCTGGGAGGTTCAGGGCACCGTGCAGCTCAGCAGCTATGGGCAGCCAGTGTCAGCTGCTCCTGCAGGGACTTGGGTGAGCAGGGAGAAGAGCCCCAGGCTGCAGCAGGCCACAAGATGGCAGGAACTGCAAGTGGATGTAGGGCACAGGGGTGTGGGATAGGTGGGCACAGCTCTTACTGCCACGTATCCCCCAAGACGGCTGCAGACTGGGCTCTTTCTGGGGGGCATATGCCCCTGGATCTGCATGTGGGACAACAACAGACTGCTGCTGCAAACTGGGGCCAGCACCACCACGGCGAATTTTAGGGTAGTAGCAACCCCCTCCCAGCCCTGCTGCTGCCATCCACCTGGAGCACCAGGAAGAGCCCTGTGCCATGGCCGGCCCCAGCCTTGCTTGCAAAAATGAGGTGGTGGCACTAGGAGGGGGGCTGCTGCCACCCCAAAATTTACCATAGCCCCCCCAACCTGCTCACCAAGTGCCACGGCAAGCCTGGTGGTGCTGCCAGACCCAGCCTGAAGTGGCAGCCTACTGCTGTCCTGCGCAGAGATCCGGGAGCCTGAGCCCACCCAGGAAGAGGCCGGCACAGCCCCCAACTCTCTCAGGAGGCGTGTAGCACCAAGAGCCACAGCCCCCCGCATGCCGCACCCACTCACAGCTCCTGCTGCTTTCCTGCAGCCCCAGGAGCTGCCAATGGGCTGCACTGCACCCCTCCTCTTTCCCCTTCCCTAGTCCCAGCCTTACTCCCTCCCTCACCGCAGTGGGAATATATCCCTATCTGTTCTATTGCAAACTGGGTTCACTTTATGTGAAGTTGATTTATGTGCCATTCTCCTGGAATGCATGTACTGAAAAAATCGAGGGAAACCTATATAGAAAAGATGTGGACAAATTGGAGCTAGTCCAGCAGAGAGCAATGAAAATGGTTAGGGGGCAGGGGCATATGACTTCTGAGGAGAGGCTGCAGAAACTGGGCTTATTTAGTCTGGAGAAGAGAAGACTATGGGGGGATTTAATAGCAGCTTTCAACTACCTGAAGCGTGATTGCAAAGAGGATGGATCTGGACTGTTCTCACTGGTGCCGAATGGCAGAACAAGAAGCAATGGTCTCAAAGTGCAGCAAGAGAAGTTTAGGTTAGATACTGTGGTGGAGGGAACCTCTCGCCTGAGGAGTATAGTAAAACACTGAAACAGGCTACCCAAAGAGGTTGTGGAATGCCCATCCTTCAAGGTTTTTAAGATCCATGTAGACAAAGCCTGGATGATATAGCTGTGGATGGTCGTACTCTGAGCAGGGGGTTGGATATCCAGGGGTCAAAAAAGCCAGCACAAAATAAAAAGCTGAGTGGCACATGGGAGGGCAACATGCACCACTCAAAACCAGAGCTTAGCCAGCTGGAGCCACACACCAGCTGCCAGGCAGTCTGCAAGGGGCAGCATCACTACTGCTAGAGCCCTGGAAGGCCCCCCCAGGACCCCAGGTAAGGCTGCTGGGGCTAGCACAGTGTTAGCTCCAGCCTCCCCTATCCTGCCCAAGGTAACTTGCCATACGCCAGCAGGCACATGGCACAGGTGTTCCTGCACCACTGCTAGTTGTCCCCAGGGAACCAAATGTCCATGCTCATGTGGACACAGCCATAATCTGTCAAACACCTCTGAAGTCTTTCTTAAGGTTGATTTAATCCTTCAATCAAATAGATTTCAAGTTGTGTCCTGGTTCAGAAGTCTTTATCTCATTTAGCAGACCCAAAAACCAGCCAGTGTCCAAATGCTCTGCAAACATAATTAATTAATCTAACTTTGAAAACAAAGAGCATTGAAAACATTTACCTACCTGCAGCATACAACTGAGTCCATAAACTAGTGGACGATGTTGTGAGCAGGAAAAGAAATCTGAACAGGCTAGCTGTACTGGGCTCACCATAGGACCAGGTGTAGTAGGACTTGGAGCTGTTAAAGGAGGATTATTTGATCCAATAATCATGTGAGGTGAGTGTGCAGCTACCAAGTTAGGACTGTCACTTAACAATAAAGATAGACGTCTGGCACAAAAATAAGCAAGGCGACGGGACAGGTAAGCTGACTGAACAAACTCTTCTGAATACTGAAACAGAAATAGCATAGTTATTAATAAGCAGAAATGTTTTTCCAGATAGTTCCTACCAATATTATTCTGATCTTTTGAGATACAGAGGCTAGAAAGGGACACCTAGCATACTAAAAGTGATCCGTGTTTTCTGCTTGCGAGTTCTAGTACAGTGCTGGCTCTTTGAAAACTCATTTGCCTGTGCAAAAAAGTCTTGTAAACTTTATTTTTGTTTTAAAAAACAAAAAATATTTTATATTAAATTTTAGGATAGTTCTTACAGTCCTAATGTCCAAGCATCTGGACAAACAAAAAGTTGTAGCATTTCAAAAGCAATCTATATACACACACACACACACACATATAACGTATGTATATATAAGCAATAAAGTATTTAGTTAATTAGAGTTTTAAAAATATACTGAAAAGTACAAGCTAAATGTAATTGTTATCTGAGAAATCTTAATCGCGAGTAAGGCATCTTTTATTTTTAAAGCAACCATATAGCTTTAAAACATGTATTGTACCTGTAGCATTAGTGGTAACAATAGCTTAAGAAGGTCATCATCGGTGGGTCTGATTTTTTCCAACACATCTAGTATCCATGTCAAATACTCATGTCTTTCAAGCATTCCTTCCTTAAAGAAATTTTTTTTTAAATTGAATCAATTATTAAATTGCAAGAAGCAGACAAAAAATCTTGTACTTTTATTTGCAATGTTACTGTATCACACCACAAAGTTCGATTCTCCAGGACACAATAAACAAAGCTGATGCGGAGAAAGACCCTACATCCCTCAAAAAAATTCAATGCCAGTAACCTAGAAAGAAAAAAATGGGCAATAAATCAACAGCTACTCAAAGCTCCTGACAGATGCAGGAACCAGCACAAGTTGCAATGGTCCACACACAGCTCAGATTCACCAAACTAAGAGCCACAAACACTTGACAAACTTTCTCCCAGTGTCAACCCTACCCCAGCAATTGGCCCCAAAGGCTAAGTACAGACAGTCAAAAAATCAGAGGCCGAATCAATTCAGTCTTTGCAGGTTAGTCTAATATGCATAGATTGAATGGAGAAGCAACTGAATGGACATTCACTTTTGACTCTGGAAATGCAGCCATGTGCCTGCAGTGGCCCAGGCCAGAAGCCAAGTGGGTGCTAAAGCATGCCACCCTGTTCAGCTAGAACAGACAGCTTGAGTCAAAGCTAGCCCTCCCACACTGAGAGGGCTGGTTTGCGGGAGATGTGCAAAGCATCCTGGGATACTCAGGGACTGAGTTAACTTGAAACTGGAAAAACCAGGACAGAAATTCAATAAACCAATTTAACCTAAATCAGTTAAGTCTAATATTATATCCAGCCAAGTTTATCTTAAACCAGTTTCAATCATTTTGAAAGTGGTTTATGTACACTGAACTTCTGTTGTTACAGATCTGAATTGATTTCCAATCACTGATACCAGTTTGTGTGTAATTTCTGTCCCTAGCCAAAGAGACTAAATTAGCCCCAAAAAGCTGTTTTACTGTAGCTACATGGCTTCAACACCCAAGCCAGCCCATTTACATTTCATTCAGTTATCTCCCTTTTCAGACCTTCAGCCTTGCAAGAAGCAAGCATTCTCTCTGCATAACCTGTCTCCACTCCTTGGTTTTTCTCTCACCAGAACTCATCTGTTATTGTTAACAATCAGAGACAAGACATGATAGGAAGACTACCTAAGGACTAGCCATGGACAAACATATACGTTGGACCTTAGTGAGGCAGGAGGCTCACTTTGGGCGAGGCTGAACATTAAAAAGGTAACAGCCGAAAGTGTATTTTGTTTGGAGTACAAACTGTATTGAGTAGAGGGGTGCTCCATCTTCAACCCCATCAGGGACTGATGGGCTCACATAGCTGTGCAAATAGGAAATTTAAAAAAAACAAAACATTCCTGCATGACCTAGCTTCAATTCCTTAGCGACTGCATATTTGTTAAAACATCCACAATGTAGACCATCCACAATGTAACCAAATCACACTACTTTAAACTTTATGCAAGTCAAAATCATTTCACTTAGATAACCATTATCCATTTGCATACATCTTAAAGTAAATTTGTTCCTTACAGATGTGCTGCCCATATTACTCGCACATGTATGTGTGCATGCATTCCACTGTTGGTGTACATGCTCTCAATGAATTTGACCTGCCCATGTGGGCAAAAAAACTACACTATTTATATCCTCTAACCCCTACCCAAGATCTTAAAGAGCACTGCAACCCTAATTGCCTCTCCCTCTCTTTGACAAATTAGAATCCAAATGTTAGGCCAGGTACACACATTACACAAACCAGTATATAAGTGATCGGAAACCAATCTATACCTATAAACAGAACAGAAGTTCAGGGCACAGACTGGTTTAAAAACAGTGCACCCAGGTCTAAGACAGACCTGGATCAATGTGGCATCAGACTTAAACAGTTTAGGTTACAGTGGTGCATCGAACTTCTGTACCAGATACCTTATCAATTCATGTTAGGTCACTGTCCACCAGCATCCCAGGCTTCTTCGCAAGCTCCCAATAGCCTCGCCTCACAGGGAGCCACGCTGGAGCTCTGCCGCACTCAGCTGCTCCAGCTGAGCATGCAGCAGGCTCTGCCTCAGGGCTGTTAGAGAGTTGAGCTAACACCAAATCTCTCCCCAGCCCCACGTCCTGCATCCAGCCAGCTCTTAGCTGCAAGCAGGCAGGAGGGAAGCAGGACTGACACTTCTGTTTCATGGGCCTGGCACCAGTCACTGAGCTGGGGACCATGGGGGTCCAACTTAAACCTTCCCTCCGCCAGCTTGTGACCATTGTTCCTGGTCACTCCTTGCGGCGCTCGGGGGAACAGGGACTCCCCCAGCGCCTGCTGATCCCCCCTAACCAGTTTATAACAGGCCACAAGATCCCCCCTCAGCCTTCTCTTTTGAAGGCTGAACAGGTTCAGGTCCCGCAACCTTTCCTCATAGGACCTACCCTGCTGTCCCTTGATCATACGAGTGGCCCTCCTCTGGACCCTCTCGATGCTGTCCACATCCCTCTTAAAGTGCGGCGCCCAGAACTGGACGCAGTACTCCAGCTGCGGCCTGACCAGTGCCGCATAGAGGGGGAGGATCACCTCCTTGGACCTGCTCGAGATGCATCTGTGGATGCACGACAAGGTGCAGTTGGCCTTCCTAGCCGCCTCCCCACATTGCCGACTCATGTTCATCTTGGAGTCAATAATGACTCCCAGATCCTTTTCCACCTCCGTGCTGACAAGAGGGGAGTTCCCCAGCCTGTATGTATGGTGCCGATTGTTCCTCCCCAACCAACCAACCAATACTTGGGTTCAATTCTATACAGGTTTACATGCTACACTTGTCACCATAGAAACAAAGTACCATCATGGGTTTTGTTTTTTCACCTGCTCCCTAGATGCAAGACAGTAGCACGATGTGTTGTTTAAGTTTGGGGTGTTTGTGTTCTTAGGCATATCACAAGCTTTAATTCTGCTTATACTGAAGTTCATTTCAGTTCAACACTGAAAAACCCTGAAATAGTTTCATACTCATATAGAAAGGTTTTTGTCAAGCAAAATTTTAACATAATTTAAACAACTTGCAAGTTTTTAGTTGTGAGTTATAAATAAACGGACAAAAGTGACCATTTTCAAATGCATTTTAAAATTTGGATCCCTAGCAGAGTCTCCACCAAAAAAAAAAAAAAAATCTAATTTCTGAGGAAAAGTTACCTGGAACATATAAAATGCCAGTTTTTCATTATATTCCCACTGCTTCAGTGCTTGTTCCACCTCTTGAGGCACAGCTACAGAGCCGTTGCCTTGGTTTGTAGTCACATGATAAAATTCTGCAATCTTTGCCAGCTGCTCTCGAAGGTACCGGGTTAGGATTTGAGTCCATTCTATGAAATAAGTTCACAGTTAAAATTGGAAAACATTTAAAAATAAATTCCTTCTTAGGAGACAGCACTTAATTCTTCATAGCAGAAACTACAACTTTTTATTACCTTCCTAACTAGAACACTTTTCAAAACATTAAGCAGCAACTGTAAAAATGCAGCACCTATTCTGAATAAATAGGTTTTGTGCATGCTTCTCCTGTGCATTGTTCTTGAAGTGTACACACCATGAAGTGTGTTACTAGGGTGTTAATTTAATGAATGCCTCCACCTGGAAAGATACAAAACACATGCTATGCCTTTAGGGCATCCCCTGTTTGCTCTACCAGGACTCAATATTCAACTACAAAGCAGCCTTGAAGAGAAACATAAAAATACTTTCCAATTATTTATTTCTATCTGGAGACTTATTTCTCCCCCCAAAATAACAAAACTAAACTGTTTTTTACATACATGAGAGAAACTGAAAATAAAATTGTTTTTCCTGTGTTCTCTTGAAATTAATGTAGAACTCCTCCAATTTTAATTCTTCTCCAAAATCCAACCATCTCCAAGTAGTTTATTAGGTCAATAAACTGGCCAATGCAGCATGAAGATTCACAAATAAGATCAGGAATAAAGATGAGAGAATCCCATATTCAAGTCATTTTGTAATATTTATCAGAGATGCATAACAGTAGTCAAGAGCAAGCAGTACTGGCTCAGCCTAATCCAGCCAGTAATTCCACAGTGTAGGGTACTAAAGAAGAGTTTGGGGAAAATTAATCTAAACCAATTTATAAAAAAAAGGGCAATGGCAGAAATCCACTTGGTATGCTCCCCTTTGACGACCCTGAAGCATAGCAAAAAGTTAACTTCAATCCATTCTGCACCTAGAAGAACTAGCCATACACTGGCTATGTCAACTGTCAGCACTGCCACCAAAACCCACACATTGGTTTGAAAGGCCTTTCTTCAACACCTTAAATCAGAATTAAACAAGTTACCAAGTCCTTGCAGCACAGGATAAAATGAGACTGTACATTACTTCAACACACAACCACTTCAGAACCATGACATCTCAGTACAACCACTTGGAAACCAAAGGTCTTCCATGCACAGGTTCCACCTTGCCCTACATGTATAGAGTCAAGATCACCCCCAAGATAACCTTAGATTGATGAAAAGCAATGAGGCCATCTCATAACTAAACAATTATCTCCTCATTTCTCAAGCCTTCAGATTCTGGGTCAATAGACAAACACTAGTCTAGGACTTCTGTGAAGAACATCAGGACCACATAAAGACATGTCCTCCTTCCTTAGCTATTCCATTGCTGGGTGGATGCTGACTCCTACTGTGCAAGGTGTTCAGAATGTCAGAAAACACTACACTAAACCAGGCAGTCTGCCACTGGATAAAATGTCTTTATCACACTAAAAATAGCCACATCTACACCTAAATGTACTTATGAGTGTCACATGATAATTCCTGCATAAAGCCCATGTACTGTCAGTGACGCAGGGAGTGCAACACTGTCAGCTAGTCAGAGACGATGGCAACTCATGGGTGAAAGGGAGCCATATACATTTTCAATTAGGACCTACCAGTAGAATAACTGGGTGGGGGTGGAGGAGCCATGAGCAGGGCCAGGTGCCAGCTTAGAGGGGCACTAATATGTTCCCCTGCCCCCAGGAGTCCTTGTCACTGCAGGAGTAACCCTGTACCACCCTGTAGGAGCCAGGCAGGCACAGCCCTATGCCCAGTAACGTGTCTGAGTGTTAGGGGGTGGAATGCCCCTGTCCCCGCTCCCTTCAAAGAAGACTTTGCCAAGGGAGGCACAGCCCTGCACCTGGGGGGAGAGGAAGACCAAACAATCAGGACACCAGGAGCAGCCCCTGGGGAGCCCACACTGCTGCCCATCCCTGACCAGCAGCAGCCCAAGCCGATAGACTAGGGACAAGCATTACATATAAACTGGTTTAAGTGATCAGAAACTGGTTTAAAGCTGTAACTGAACAGATGTTCAGTGCACATCAACCAGCTTGGAAACAGGCAAAACTGGTTCGAGATACTACATTGAACGAAATTGATCAGACTTAACTGATTTGGCTCAAACTGGTTTATGCAAGGTCTGTCCCAGCCCGCTTGCTGGTTTAAGTTAAACCAGACACACTCAGCATCCAGCATGCTCTCTGGGCTGGGAGGGGCTCTCTGCTCCACAACAGGGCTGGCTCTGCCTCCCTGCTCCCCGTCTGCAGCTCTGGCAAAGATTGCAGGCTGCTCCCTCCCTCTCACTACTCCATGCTAAGAAGGAATTCGCCCTCCCCTCTGTCTGGCCGAGAGATATCTGTGTATTAGCTAGTAGACCACATGTTAGCTATGCTCTGTGCTGTGACAAAGGCAGAATCAAGAGGTAGCTGGTAATGTCCTCTGTTTTCTTAATGGGGTGATAAACATGAATTAGGGGGGATAAACACTTATCAATTCCCTGCTGGACTAATCTGAGCATCCAGCCAGGGCCTGGCCATGCCCCCCCCTCTCCCCAGCTCAGTACTGAGGAAGGGAAGGGAAGGGATGGCTGCTCTAGCACACACCCCTCCAGCTTCTACCCTGAGCCACTGCAGACGTGTGCCTGCATGTCTGGAATGAAAAGGGGTTGTCTCTCCACCTCAAGATCAGTTCAAACTTTGCAGGTTAGTCTAACCTGCAAAGATTGAATCAATTCAGGCACAGGTTTTCTGAATGTCTGTCCCTAGCCATAGTGTTACAACAGCAGCTGCAGCACAAGCAACTACCGCTGAAATAAGCCAGGCAGGTAAGACTCCTCTCTCCTGCTCACCACTGGTAAGCATAATTCCCCAGCACCCCTCACCTCTACTCTGGGCACTGAAAGAGTTGGCCGAAAGCCTCTAGGATGTAGATGTCCTATACCATCAAGGGTGGAACAAGGGGCCAGTTCTGCCCAGTAAAGCAGATCAGCTGTGCCACAACGTATTACGACACAGCTTATCCACTCCATTTGATGATATTTATTTCTTCAAGCATTTCTTCAAGCCCCTCCCATTCATTACACCCCAAAATATCTTGGATCTTTCAACAAAAAGTTTCTCTGCTTTGCACTTGGGGCATTTTTTCTGACATTTTGTGGATCACTTGTCCGATTTACACTGGTAACTTTACAATATACTAATACCTTACTTTACAAAAACTAAATGCCTCTCTCATCCTACAGGACTACATCCTTTCATGACTTACATACTTCACAGGGCACAACTGAGCATTAATAATCTGTGCATATGAAGATTTCTTTGAATGCAAAACTACCAGAATATTTACAAACTTTACTTTAAAATAATTTTATGTGCTGCCAACAGAGTTAGTTAATCCATAATATTTATTTTTCACTCCAAAGTTTGTAGCATTGCAGCAAATTGTCATTCAAGAATTTTGCAAAATTATAGTTGACATATTTTTGTAATTCTTATTCTCAATACAGGAATATAGACAACAAGCAATACACAAAGTTGTGGAGACTTCATTCTACCTAATACAAATGCTGGAGGCGGGGCAGGGGGGAATGATTACTGTGTAACCATCAGCCTGCTTCTGGATTGCTTCCTGTGTGGTGGCAAAGAAAAAGTACGAAACTAGTCTAAGTCTACACTAATGGCTGGCAACCTTTTAAGGCTGCAAGCTACACTGACCCAGTTTGCATCAAAGGCAGGAGGATAGGTGGCCACTAGGACCCTGCCACCAGTGCCACCTTTCCCTCCAGTGGCACAGGGAAAAGCACCCGCCACTGCAACTGCTTCCCCCTGAAGGCACCGGGGAAAGTAACAACTGCCAAAGCCCCCCACTGCTAACCATCACCAAAGCCCCATGTGCAGGCTGGATCAAATGGCTCCGCCAGTTGTATGTTACCAACCCCTGGTATAGATTTTAAATTAAGGGGAGGTGAAAATGTAGGTGAAACATCACTTTCTATGGAATTCCTCTTTTATACACTTAAGAGTTCAAGTGAGGTACTAAAGATATTTGTTATATCACATGAAAGACCAATAAAGTTCTCCTTAATCAGCATCAAGCATAACTTTAGAAAAACATTCTATGTGCATATTATAGTATCACTTTTTCAGTCTGACTCCTAGTATCAAATATCATTGTTTTCATGGTTGTCCGTGAACTTCACCTCAAAAAAAAAAAAAATCACTCGTTCACTTCTGATTTTTTTCCCTTTCTTATGTTTCTAATAAGAAATTCTGTCAGCACATATTAGATCATTTCTCTTTACAAACACATCAGCTGGGTATAGGCATTTTCAGTGTTGTTTAAGCTCAAAATAGCTATACAGAAACATATAGTAAATATTTGCTTCAAAGCACTCACTTAGATTTGTAAAAAATGATCGCAAATCTACCATTTCATACTTCTTTTCATATCATACTATGAAAGGATAATTTTCCCAAGGCAATTTATTACCAATATCTCTGTGCCACTAAGGTAGAACATGTAGAAAATGAATCATTTTCATTACTCCAAACATAGACCTGAAACTTTTTGAAGACTGCCAAAGACTAATCAGTAATGTACAGTATAATTATTCCCATAAAACTCTAAATAACCTTTGCAAAACAGCAAATTTGCAAGGAAAATAACCTTTAGTACCCACTTGGCACAGTCAAAAGAAATCAAAATTGGAACACTCAACACAAGCCTAGTGTAGGAAAGTGCATCAGTCTTTGGTTACTCCTATTTTTTCTTCAGCTGTCAAAGAACAGATTAAATGTTGACTAAACACCAGAAGCATCCATCCACCCATTTTACCCTGTTATAGAGCACCAGCTCCAACCTGTTCAGTAAGCAGAACATTTTATCTATAGATACTGGACCACAGCCTCAGCTGGAATAAGCTAGTGCCATGCTGATTCATACTAGCCTACTTTTCTGACAGTCGGGTTAGAGAGAATTTTTTGGTTTTCTTACCATAACAGAGTTCATTCCAGACTGAAGAGCAAGGCCTT